GATTATAACTAAATTTAATGTCAGCCCGAAGGATATAAGGCAAGGCTGAGGTACACTCAACTTTCTAATTTGTACAGAGGAATGATGATGATGATGATGATGATGAGCTCTCCGCATCCCCTCCATAGAGGATTCCAGCCAATCGGATCTCCCTCATTCAGGGGGAGTTACATCATCCAGACCCTCAATGGCTCCAGTTAACCGTCTGGCACTTGAGAGGCAGGCCTTAGGCCTAGACTCATATTCATCAAGGGTCATAGCCATGATCCAGCAATCCAGGCGACCCTCGACGAATAGAATATACGATGCCACGTGGAAGAGCTTCTGTAATTGGTGTTTAGCTCACAAAATCGAACCCTTACAGGCTGCAGTGCCAGTTATCTTGGAGTTCCTGATGGACGGTTTGGACAAAGGGCTTTCCACAAGCACCATCCGTAGGCAGGTAGCAGCACTCGCCACGGTTATTTCCTGTGGCAAGGAACCCTTAACACAGCACTTGGAGGTCATCTAGTCCAACCCTCTGCTCAAGCAGGAAACTTATACCATTTCAGACAAATGGCTGGTCAGTCTCTTCTTAAAAACTTCCAGCGTTGGAGCATTCAGTGCTTCTGGAGGCAGGTTGTTCCACTGGTTAATTGTTCTGTCAGGAAGTTTCTCCTTAGTTCTAGGTTGCTTCTCTCCTTGATGTTAGACTTTAGCACAGAAAGTTAAAAATAAACTTAGCACAATGTTCCTAGAGATATATTTTTACCTATTTTTTTTCCAGAGATAACAGTTTCATGAAACAAATATTCTGCCTGTCTTAATTATTCCTGGGCTTCCCATTTCCTGGGAATTCTTATCAATTAATACTGGGACTGCTGAAGAGACAGACAGCCTCCCCCCACACACACACTTCCACCCCTATAGCTGCTGTTCTTGTTTAAAAAGACGTCACATTTTTCTATTTCCAGCAAAGAAAGAAAGGCTTGGGTAATTTGTCTCAGCAAATGACATCTCTGACTCCCTGAAGGTTGAACAACTAGCAGGCCTCATGAGGCTGGCAGTTTGCAGAATGGTTAATGTAGGCTGATATTCGTAACACACGTACAAATCTTTGTGTGTGTCTCTGTGTGTGTGTATTGTGCACTTCTTTTTTATATAATTTTTTATTAAGGGTTTTAGTTACAACAAGAAAAGATAATAACAGACTAAAAAAGAAAAAAGGTGCAAAAAGGAAAAAAAGAGAAAGAAAAGAGGACCTCCCCCTCCAGGAAGTCAACTTCCCACCCTCAACACGTTGAGTATAAACAATTTCATAATCTCTTCACCTGATCTTAACTAACAAATATAAATTTCTTCATTCCATCCCTCGTCTCTTAACTGTAGGTAAATCCAACATCTTCTGCAGTCCAGGTGCCAGCAAAAAAAAAAAAAAAAAGTTAAGAAATCCAAACAGAGCTCTAAAATAATAATTTTAATGAACATATATAAAACTCAACATTCCACATCTGACCTTTTAGCTGTAAGCAAAATCACATTTAAAAGGCATAAAGTGGTCCTGTGATCCTTTTGTAAGCAAAAAAAAAAAAAAAAAAACCCAACAACTAGTTTAAAATGACAAAGAGGGGCCATTTTTCACACAAATATCCCTTTCTTCTAGATTAGAACAACTGTGGGGAAAACACCATGTTCACTGTAAACAAACTCAATACACAACATTTCTTTCATTTCAAATGCCAAAAATGTCAAAAAGAATCCCTCTAGATAGCAACATATCCCGTTCAGATAATTGTTCCATGTTTCAGCTCCTAATTATAAACACATCTAGCAAAGGTGAAAGTAATCCCAGTGTCCTAATATGAACAAAAAAAATTAACATTTAACATAACAAAGGATAATTTTTTTCCTTTAGAAAGAATACATTCATAAAACTTCTTTGCTTTTTTAATACACTGCCAGTTTAAATGCTATCAAATTAAGATACATAGAGTAATGAAGAGAAAATGTTCAACACAACATTAAGGGTAAGCAAATCCAGTACATAACATTTTTGTACTCCAGAAATCCAAAATAGCAACATGTCCCACTTTAATCCTCTGCTGGCTGAGAAATTCTGGGAGTTGAAGTCCACAAGTCTCAAAGTTGCCAAGGTTGAGGACCCCTGTTCTATATAACCCAAGAGTTGGGCTGAGAGAGGCCCAAAGTCACCCAGCTGGCTTTTATGGCTAGAACCCAGTCTCTCGGTTTCTAGCCTGGAGCCTTAACCACTAGATCAAATTGGCTCTATGTTATTGTAATTGCACAGCTGAGAAAGAAACTAAGAACAGGCTTGCTGAATCAGGGCAATGCCCGTTGCAGTCCATTTTTCACAATGGCTAAAGCAGCGGTTCTCAACCTGTGGGTCGCGACCCCATTTGGGGTCGAACGACCATTTCACGGGGGTCGCCAAACAACGCGATCCGCCATTTTTTTTGTCAGCCGGCGCAGGGGGCGGTGCCGCACATGCGCGCCGTGCAGGGGGGGCACGCAGGGGCGGCACATGGGCGTGGCGCCGCGCATGGGCGTGGCGCCGCGCATGCGCGCGTGCAGGGGCAGCGCAGGGGGCGGCACCACGCATGCGCGCCGCCTGCTTATGACCGGGGTCGCCGTATAAAAAGGTTGAGAACCACTGGGCTAAAGAGATGTGTCTGAACTGTTGATAAATAGAAGTTGGAGACATACTTCCTGTTGCTGTTATTGCCCTGCAGCTAGTATTTGGAGGCACGCTGCTCCCCAGTTGGAGATAACCCTGAATCTCAAAACTAGTAGTCCTTGATAGACCTGCTCTCCATGAATTTACTGATTTTCTCTTACAGCAACCCAACTTAATGGTCATCATCATGTTTTGTTATGATGAATTTCACAAGTTAATTTTGCACAAAGTGAAGAAATACCTTCTTTTGTCTGCTTTCAATCTCCCCCAAATTATCAATGGAGGTTGTTGAGAGAGGAGACAAAACTGTCCATTTTCACCACAGCGAGTATTATGTTATACATCTCAACCATATTCCCTCTCACTTGGCTGTTTCATAAGCTAAAGAGTCCCAAACATTCAAGCTTTTTGTCATAGAAGAGTGTTGAGCCTTTAGTCACATTGGTTACCCTCTTCTGTACATCACTTTTTTTTCAAATGTAATATTTGAGAGCAGCATACAGAATTCTGGATGCAATGTATCATTGCTTTGTGTGAAAGCATGACAGTTTTCTAGAGTTATGGAACTTGACTTTTTCACAGTTGCCAGATATTGAGTTGATATGTTCATTGTGCCATCCATTGATCTTTCTCCGGGTTGGTAAAAAGAGAACTCGGATCCCATCACATGGGTGTCTATCATTAGGGAATTTTATTTTACCTATCACTTCACACTTATTTAAATTTAACTGTATTTGCACTTGATTAACCATTCTTCAATTTAAATAGATTGTTCTGAAGCTCTTCTCACACACGTTTGTTTTTTGCTATTTTGAATAGTTCAGTACCGTCTGCAAACTTGGTCAGTTCTGTTTCCCAGGTCAAGATGCACCGGTGTATCTTCTGCTATATGATGCACTGTAAAATATATAAAATATGCTACGTGTAATTTTCCTTTAATTAAATAGGAGCCAATCTTCTTCCAATACTCTTTTAAAATGCTACACATAGTGATGGTGGTTATGGGATGGGAAAAACCATTTGTTTCCTCACAGGAACAAATGATGATAATGAAGTTATCCATTCAGTTGTATCCGACTCTTGGCGATTCTATGGGCCAGGTTTCTCCACATCTTCCAGTCTTGAGTTCTTTGCATTTTCTATACTCTGGCTGGTGTCAGCTTTGATGGAATCCAGCCACCATGTTCTTTGACAGCCTAGTTTCCTTTTACCGCTAACTCTTCCAAGCAAAATTGCTTTCTCCAGTGATATAGAAACAAAATGAAAAAGTAAATGTAAAAATATGAAGCTAAAAGGAAAAGGTTACCCACTCATTGTATTTTTTTTAGACATCAGTGACCCTAAACTTGACTTTTCTGAAAAAACAAAGTCATGAATTATTATTTAATATATAGTTGCATAAAAGGAAGATGCTGCTATAAAAGTATTAAACAATAATGAGCTTTAAGGCTTAAATATTATTTAATGGTTCATTTAAAAAAACTTTCATGAATCAGGTGATTAAGTACCAAAATAATGTTAATATTGAGCAAATAGAAAATTAAATAATCCTATACTCATACTACATATTTCTGAGAAGTGAACTATTTGAATTCTGTAGGTTTCATTTTTAATGAATGCATTGTTTTCCACACAAGTATTACATGAAAACAAATATAAACCAATTTTATATTTCCAAAACTAATAAAAAAACATAATTCTAATCCTCTCTATGAAACCATTCCAATCACATCTGCCTATGTGATTCCTTCCATTGTTCACAAGGACTAGCTGAAATTTCCCAGTCAGCAGTTTCTGCTTTTTAAATTTCAAATGTTGAAACCAACATTACCTAAAACTATAGTCCATAAACGTGTCTTCTAAATGCCCTTGACACATTTGGCTTCTTGATCATTTCTGGAAACTAAAGGCAAGACTTGCTGAAACATCAGCAAGGGTCAATTCCTATTCATTTCTCTCCTAGATTTTTCCCTTGGTCACCTGCCCTACATGCTCTAGGATAGAAATAAACCCATTTCTTTTTTTCAACCCAGCTTTGTCTCTTTAGTCCACTTAATGATGCTCACCTGATTCCGTTCTCTTCATTTTTCCCCTGTAAGCAAAACATCCAGGCTTAAGAAGGTGGGAGAATACAGGACACTATTAAAATGGGTCCTTCCTGACCAGTTTGTCTTCATTCCTGTTTTGCAGTATCATAGTGCAAGTATCCACACTGAGATCAATATACTTACATATCCTGCAAAGCTTTTTGGCATGTGCTGCCATGCTTCAATTTGGATTTCCCCTACACCCAAAAATCTTTATTGGAAAAAAAAAGTCCCGAATCTGCACTTAATAAGTTAATTTATTGCCAGTCACTTATACATGTTGATTTTTCACCTGTATTTTCAAACTGGTGGGCTACATGCCCTGAACAAAGAACTACAAAACATGTTGCATGTTCAAACAAAAACATTTTTTTAAAGATTTTACATCTGACATTACTCTTCTCTATAGTTCACAATAGCCAAATATTTAAGGAAGAAACACAACTCCCTCTAAACTAATTATAAATGTGTAATTTGGCTTTGCCAAAGAAGTTCCAAAACATTACTGATAACGAACAGAAAAGTACCTTACAGGTCAAGAAATTAAGTACTTCTGTACCACTTGTTCTAACAGTCAGGTGCCTCTGTAATATCCTTTGACTTTCAAATTTTACTTTCATCATATTGATTATACAATCTAAGCCATGCTCAAAGATTCATATATAACTATGCAATTCACATTCTGGAATATTTAGTGCTATTCACTCTCAGCCACCAAAAGTTGCTTTATATAGTTATGATAGCAATTGGGACTGGGATTACCATCACTAAATGGGTGACATCATGTGACATCATTTAGGATGACAATCCTAGTAATCCCAGGTGCCCTTGTAACCCTATGTAACCCTTAATGACTGTGTGGATCATTCAGTGGGAAGAGGTGGGTGTTCAGGGTAAGGAGCGTGGAAGGTACTGTAGGTGGGCACTGGGGAGTGTGGGCCACCTGGCAGGAGCCAAGGGTAGGTACTGGAGAGGGTGGCTGAGAGAACGCTACGGAGTACAAAATCCCTGGTATCTCATACTCTCTAGTGGGGCTCCTTGGGAGAAAAAGTGGCAAGAGCAACTTACAAAATTATTTGTGACCTTCCCTGCAGCTTCCCCATTGACTTTGCTTGTGGAAAGCTGGCAGGAAAGGTTGCGAATGGCGATCATGTGCCTGTGGCTTGCCCAGCTGCTTGAGCACCCAGATTGTGATCACATGACCACGGGAATGCTGCAAGGACCACAACTTCATGGACTGGTCATAGCTCCCCCTAATTCAGTACCATTATAATTTTGAATAGTCACTGATTAAGTGGTCATTAGTCAAGGACTGTCTGTATAGAATGTAAGATTTGTTGCTGGCGCCAAAGCAATCACAAAGCCTCATAATGATGATGCAAGATATTTTTGTGGTCTGTGCTCTTAAATGTGTGGGGCTTCTACTTTTGACTTCCCTGCAGTTATAACTGCTACATAAAAACAACCGAAGGTTCAACTCCTCAAAAGCTAGAGCTAACCCTGTGGTTATTCTGGTCTGTAAAGCAACAGGGCTTAGCTGCATCCATACTGCCTCTGACTGTTTCCAATTCATGTTGGGAAATAATCTAACCCAAAGTGGGGGAAAAAAGGAGGGCAGCTGGGAAAAAAAAAAGCAGCATCAAACCAATCCATTTACATAAGTCACAGAAGCAGACTGACGGCCCTGATAAACCGCTGCCAACTATTTCATTTGGCTATGAGCTAGAATACCCAAAGGGCTTGAATGAGGAATGTCAAAGCTAGTCCAAATAGACCGTAGAGTGGAAGGAAGCTGACCCTACACTCATCAGAGCAAATCCAACGATCTAACAAATGAAGCAGCCCTGCGGCTATTTTTTAACATCTCCAGCTTTCATAAGGGCCTTGATAGCCCTCGCTCGCATCTCAAGCTCCAGGAGCTCCAGCTGCTGTGCTGATGGCTGAACATCATCTGCGGGAGGAACTGCTAAAGCTGCCGCCTTGGACTCCTTTGGGGAGGATTCGGCAAGGCCCAGGATTTCATTGACGCTTTTCTCAATGTCTTTCTGAAGGTCATCGATCTGACCGTCTCCGCTTTCAACCGTCCGCTCTGGCACAGCTGGATTATCTTCTTCATGGCATGGTCCTTCAATGTCGCTGTCGTATGCATCTGCATTGATGCTGAGAATGTCGCTATCTTCTCCTTTGCCTGCGGCATGAAATGAACAAATTTAGAAGGCTCCCTGAAAAGGAAGAGCTGTTTTTCACCTTGCAGTTGCTTCTGCACACAAATATTCCCTTGCCCGGATTTAAAGTATAAGAAAGGTCATCTATAAATTAAAAACAGGTTTCTCTCTTTTCAGCCCTCTCCCTACCTTAAGACTGATTTAATTTAGACGAGTCTTAATGCATTTTTTTTATTCCAATTTACAAGAACATGCAGTAGTCCAAAGCAGCAGTGCTTGGAAAATTTATTCCGTCGTATGGAATTGCATGATCTATTTTCCTAATTAAAATGTCATAAGGTTTTATATCATAAGGACGCGTCTGCATTTCAAAATGAAAGTTGATGTGGGAAGCCTCTGGGACTGACTACTGTTTATTATTTTAGAAGTAAATCTTATTCCTAAAGTGCAGTTTAAAAGTACTCTTAAAATTACTTTATGTACTGTAACGAAAATACGAGAATAGTTATCAGTACAGTAATATATGTATTAGAAATAGCTATGTAAAGATTTTCATTGAGATTTAGGCTTCAATTTAGGTTTCCTTCCTAACAATTATGGCATTCTTATTTGCTTAATTGTTTGATGGCAACAATAGGCCTGATGAGGGCCAATAAATTAAATTTTAGAAGACAAAAGTGTTGTTGATGGCCAGATCTCTCATTCTAAAAGACCTGGTGCGTAATTTGGGGGTTCTCCTAGACTCACAATTTCTGCTCAAGGAGCAGTGGTAGTTGTGGCCAGGAGGGCTTTTGCACAATGGCAAGTTGTGTACCAGTTACGCCCCTTCTTGGACCAACAATCCCTACTCATGGTCACTCATGCCCTTGTCAATGCCTTCTACATGGCACTGTCCTTGAAAAGAATCCAGAAGCTTCAATTGGTTCAAATTGTGGCAGCCCACATGGTTTTGTGTAGATCTAGATATGCACGTGTGCCATCTCTCTTGAAGGAGCTGCATTGGCTGCAGATTTGCTTCTGGGTCCAATTCAAGGTGCTGGTTGTTATGTTCAAAGCCCGCCATGGCTTGGGACCAGGTTATCTGAAAGACCATCTTTTCCCAGCCACATCTACCCAACTGACCACAGCGGGGAGGCAGGGCATGTTGCGGGTCCCCTCTCCTAAGGACACCCATTGAGCGGAACCAAAAAGGTAATGGCTCCCTCCCTGCGGAACATTGTCCCCATGAAGATAAGATTGCCCCCCACTTTGACACTCCTTTGCAAGGTCCTGAAGATCTGGCTTTGCCAACAGACCTAGGGACCCCAGAGTGGGACCAAACCATCAAATGGTTCATTTGATTGTTGCCGCCGGGAAGGGTGAGGGGGGGGGTTATTGCTTTTTTATTGGCTTTGTATTGGCCCTTTATTCTTGTATGCCACCTGGGGTCACTGAGAGTGAGTTGGGGAGGGGGCATAAAAATTTTCTTAAATAAATAAATAAATGACGTACACTAAAATTTTGCCCTGGATATTCATAAGGCCTTTACACCTTGCTCCTGCAAATGTCTATTTTCACTTCCCAATCTTCAATTATCCTGTACTGTATGTATTGATCCATGGTGTGATAATGTATAGATTACTGTAAAATGAAATTGTTTTGGATGCACCAAAAGCATTAGGTAGTACGGAACTATGTTATACCTATTCTTGGTTACTTGTACTAGTCAATTATTAGTGTGGATTTACAAAGCCCTAAACGGCATAGTGCCAAATAATTTGTTGGAAAGCCTCTCTCCTCTAATATATCATCTTATTAAGATTTACAGTGACAGTTTTCCTGCAGTGCTGACAGTAACTGCATATGTTCCTGATTCTGTTCTATAGTTTTAATATATTAAATATTTTACAGTTGATATTTTAATTGTTATAAACTGCCTTTTGACTGCAGTGAGGGCATGGACTAAGGCTCAGAAATTTTAGAAGTGATTTCTATAAATACTAGGGTATTCTACAACATAGAACTTTCCGCTACATAGAAATTCTGATACTAATTAAGGACATCTGTTTGGGCAAATCTATTTAAGTTATACCACCTTTGATATTTCCATTAGGTTTAAGAATAATGCAGTAAGATAACTGAGGTACTAAAAATGTAAGTCCCAAATTCCCTTGGATGTACAAAACCAGCGGTGAGAACCTTTTAATCCAGAGAAACTGAAGTTCTCAATGTTGGCAAGGTTAAGATGTTTGGATTTCAGCTCCCAGAATTCTCCAGTCAGCAGTTGAAGTTCACATATCTTAAAAGTTGCCAAGGTTGAAAAATATTGATCTAGAACAGTGTTTCCCAAACTTGACAATTTTAAGGCGTGTGGACTTCAACTCCCAGAATTCCACAGCCAGCGTTGCTGGCTGTGGAATTCTGGGAGTTGAAGTCCTCACGCCTTAAAATTGTCAAGTTTGGGAAACACTGATCTAGAACACGGGTGTCAAATTCGCCACATCACGTGACGCGACATCTTGCGACTTTTTTGGGATTGCCGGCAATGGGGTGGGGGTGGCTTCGGTATAATGAAACCAGCCTGTGGGCCGGCAATTTAACACCCCTAATTTCTAGAAGAATCCTGACCTGACTATGCTTTGATATTAAAAGAAAATATATATTTATAATGATATTCAGTCATCAGGTACTGTGAATGTACAGCTGTTTATACTTTGAAGCCATCTATTAATCATTTTATTTGTTTTTATTAACACAGCAATTTAATCCAGCAAAACAGTACAATGACAGGTTTCATAGGCAGAAAAATAAAGAAACCAAGAGAGAAAGAACGGGTTTTCCTGGATTAGGACAAAGTTCCAATTAGTTCAGCATTAACAATACCAGCTATATACAGCAAGCCAAATGTCCTTTTGAAGCTAATGAAGATACTTTCAACATCTCATGATTCTATTCATAGCTATTGTGGTTAAATAGTATAGTTTCTGCTGTGAATTCGTTAAAACAAAGTTATTTAAACACTTTCAAAAGTTATTTTCACTCTTTCTGACATAATTGGGCATTCTATGAGCTGAACATAATTGAACTGAAACATAACTGAAAACATAACTGAAAAAGACAGACTAGAAATAAAAGTTAAAATAAACAAAAAACTGGTAAGAGAACACCTGTCTGATCTTAATGAACATAAATCACCGGGACCTGACAGACTACACCTGCAGAGTTCTGAAGGAGCTGGCAGATGTCATCTCAGAACCACTGTACCATATCTCTCAAAAATCCTGGAGCACCGGGGAACTACCAAAGGACTGGAAAAAAGTTGATGGGGTTCCCATCTTCAAAAAAAAAAGGGGGGGGGAACAGACCCAGGAAATTACAGATCAATCACCTAACATCAGTACCTGGGAAGATACTGGAAAAGATAATAAAAAAAACAGTTCTGCAAGCATCTAGAAACAAACAAAATTATAACTAGAAGCCAGCACGGGTTTGTTAAAAACAGATCATACCAAACCAATCTTATTTCATTCTCTGACCAGGTGACTAAATTGGTGGACCATCAGAATGCTGTGGACGTGGTATACTTGGACTTCAGCAAGGCATTCGACAAAGTAGACCACAACCTACTTCTTGGAAAGCTTAAGAAATGTGGGATAGACAGTATCACCATCAGATGGATTTTTAATTGGCTAACAAACCGCACTCAAAGAGTAGTCCTTAACGGTACTACGTTTACATGGAGGGAAATAAGCAGTGCGGTACCACAAGGTTCTGTCCTGGGCCCAGTACTCTTCACCATCTTCATCAATGACTTAGATGAGGGAATAGAAGGGGAACTTATCATACCTGTAGATGACACTAAGCTGGCAGTAATAGCCAACACCCTAGATGATAGGCTCAAGATCCAGAGGGATCTTGACAGACTTGAACAGAACACTGGGCCCTATCTAACCAAATGAAATTCAACATAGAGAAAAGTAAAGCCTTACATTTAGGCAAGAAAAACCAAAAGTACACATACAGATTGGGTGAAACCAGGCTTAACAGAAGCAACTGTGAGAGGGATCTTGGAGTCTTAGTAGACAATCAATTAAATATGAAACAACAGTGTGCGGCGGCAGCCAAAAAAGCCAATTCAATCCTAAATTGCATTAACAGAGGGATTCAGTCATGATCACGTGAGGTACTAATACCACTCTCTAAAGCCTTCTGTAGAATGAGTCCATGGGGTATAAAAACTACTTTTTAAACCTTTAATTACAGAGCCATTTGATAAAGATACAAAAATTAGGTCTGTAGGTACAAAGACAAGCATCACAGCATACAAATTATATCCTATATCCATTTTGCTATAAATTGCAGTTATCTTGCACCAGAACTAGAAGCCATACATGTGAAAGATCACTGGTGTATTTTTAGACTCTGATCTAAAAATCTGTAAATTAATTTTACTTTTCTATAAAGTAACATAATTGCTATATTTGCTTTTCTATTTAACATTCATTGTAAGTTGAGTGAATGATGTAGGCAACACAGATTTAGCTTTGGGATGACACATTGGAAGAATTTCATCTTGGATATCAGCACATATCTAAGCACTTCAAAAACATTCCCCCAAGCAGTGTACAGACATATTTTGTAAAATGGAAGGAGGAACCTTTAAAGAAAACTGTAGCAAGATGAGACAGAGAGGTTAGAAAAAGAAAAGAAAAAAATGTTCATGTGAATGAATGCACTTGGGCATCTATGGAGATTCTCAATCATCCAGTTCATGGTTGTCCCAAAGGTGCTTTTTCAAAAGACAATTGGACTTTTTTTGTTTTTCCTTGAAGACTTCTTCAGTTCTGACTGAATGGTGGAGAATGGAAGGATTTATAATCCTTGCAGTCATCTGGTCATTAGCATTCTCTCTGAGAGTAACTGTGGCCATTTGGATGGATCAATCCATTGTTGAGGCCACTTGGAGACTAATAACGACCAAATGATTGCATGAAATATAAATCCTTCCATTCTCCACCATTCAGTCACAACTGAAGAAGCTTCATGGATGAGAAACAAATTGTCTTCAAGGAAAAACAAAGAAAGTCCAGTTCCCTTTTGAAAAAGCGTCTTTGGGATGCATTTGGGTATTAACAATCCCAATGTCAATAATCAGAATGAAAATCCCAGACATGTCTATCTAATCAGACTTTATTGGGACAGGTAGATAATTCTTAGAATTAAATGTTTGGCATTACTGGGTTCTTCTCAAATTACTCAGGTACTGCAATTTGAAGGTTGCTTGTCATTTTTACATAATAAAAAAGGCCTGCTAAGCACTTAATGTTTTGTAACCTGTGCTCTGTTCAGAAGGTTTCAGAAACCAAAGATTCTATAAGAGTGTTGCTATCCTAGCTATTCTACTGTTTGGCAATAATAATATACTGCATCACTGAGTTGGCAACATGAATACTTATTTTGGAAAATAGGACAGAGAAATAAAAACTTTTTCACACAAATAAAAAAAGTTAATATTCTGCACTTGATCTTTATACCAATTACTTTCCATTCACATCAAAGTCTGTCCAAAGACTGAGCAGCAGAATACATATTACTGAAATTAATCTACAGCAGTTCCAAACAACTTAAAGCAAGGCTCAGTCAAAAGTAGAGTGAGAAAGGCTTTAAAAAAATTTCTAGTTTTAAATCTTTTCTGAAAGAAATGCCATAACTTTCACTGTGTACGTATGTGCGTTGGTCTTGTGTTTATGAGCTAGGAAGAAAATCTTTAGAAAAACATACTTTCTTTGACTTTTTATGATATAACTGGTATCTGGAGGGAGAAAAAAAATCAATACTGAACACTAAGAGAAATGTATAATAAATGCTCTTGCCCATAAAATAGGAAGTAGCTTTTCTTAAAAAAAATGGAAAGTAAAGCATTGCACAAGTAATTTTATAGATATTAGAAATTTAGAATAAATAGGCAGCTGTAGCATATAAAGAATATTATGATTTCCTCAGTAATATCAAAATGGCAAAACCAAAATAACCAATTATGCTTATTCAAATTCACAGATCTCTATTTGCAAGTCTGATTTCAGAAATGTTACTTTAAGACTAATTTTGTGTCAAACTATTAGTAAGACTCTTTCAGAAAAATATATCTTTCTGATACATTTATTTTATATACTCCGTGAGTCTGTGTGTCTGTCTGTCAGGTTTAGCAGAACCAGGAAAATCAGATGAACAGAACATTTAGGCCACCATATTAAATGCATCATACTTAAACTGGGCATAGAACAACATTTGCAGTGTATGAAATATTGATTGTGATTTTCTATTTCCTAGTTACATCTGATTATGCGTCATGAAATAGTTATGGAACCTTATCAACCACGCAGATAGATATGCTCCAATCTGGCCCTTCAAATGCTCCAAATGCTCAACCTATTGTACATCTGTGTTGCCACTAGATACCTTCTTCTCTTTCCTTTTACTTTTAAGAGCATTGTAGAGTTTTCTAGAGAAAAGCTTCATTTAATATGTCTAGTTTGATCATTTGAACCTGGTCACTTGCATCTTGAGTGATAATCGTGGATTGATCTTTGTTTGATGATCCATTTGTCTGTTTTCTTGACTATCCACAATATTCTCAAGAATCTTCTCCAAAGTTCAAAACCATGAATACTCCAAAGTTAAAAAAAAAACATGAATACCCTTCCTATCCTGCTTCTTCAAAGTCCAACTTTCACTTCCATACAGTATCACATGTAAAGCCATTGCATGTATGATTCTGATTCTTGTAGGCACACATATCTTTTTCAAGGCCTTCACTAATACACTACTAATCTGTGGCATATTTCTTGACTCTTGGTTCCTTTAGTGTAGATATCTGATCCTAAAAGGCATAAGCTACCCACCACTTCAATATGTTCATTGTCATCTCTAAGGCTAGTTAGTCTATCTGTTATCATTAGTTTGGACTTCTCATTCTCTTCGCCATTCTTCTCCTTGATTTTCATTAGTACAGACCATTTGCATTTTCAGCTATTAGAGCCCTGTTTAATTTTGGTCTCCTAGGCTATTACAGTCATATATTTTCTTTCTTAATATTTCCAACTTTGGCATTCCAGTCTCCATTCACAGGCAGCATATGTTGTTTGCAAGTTTGAGCAATTTGAAATTGAACTTGACCATAAAACTCACCAACCTCCTCTTCTACATGAATGGTTGGAGCATAAACTTTAAAACTGTCACATTAAAGGGTTTTCATAAAGTCTAATTGATAGTACTAGGTCGCTAACTGAATTGTAGTCATGCTATAGCTTTCCTAACTATGAAAGCAATGCTATTCCTTATTTCTCATGTCTTAAACAGTAAATAGTGTGATGCTCTGACTGAAAGTGTTCAATCCCAATCCATTTCAATTTGCTGATGTCTAAGATGTCTATTTGTGGTCATTTAATTTTATCTTTCACTATGTTGATTTTCCGGTGTTCATGTTTTTTATATTCCGTATTTCCACTGAAAGTCTATTTTTGCAGCTTTGGGATGGTTTTTTTTTTTCTGCATGGCAGCATCAGTAACTAGACATCCTGAAGGCTTTAATCTAACCATGCCATAAACACCATTGGTAGCCTGAAAGAGCTCTTCCTCAATAGCATATTAAGTGCATCTGGCCTTTAGGGGCTCATCATCTGGTGCTACATCATCACTCACTTTATCTTATGCATCATGTGCATATGTGGAGGAGGGAGTTTTGGTAAAATACAGGAGTCATTTATACTGCCTTCTCCTGCATAGCCTTTGCCATTATCACTAAAGGGATCTTCAGCACCTTCCTATATTATTGCTACCCAATGAAGCTGCCTACATGGTTTAACTGGGCAGCTGGAATGACCTTCATGCTCTGATGACCCTGTTGCGATTATATATTCTTGGTATATATTCCCAACATTCTTTGCTCATTCATGAACTGCCACTAGGATAGGCAGGGAGTGGGGGTGAATTATAGTTATTACAGTTATAAAACAAAAGTTCAAAATCAGTAATTTGGAACTTCTGCAAAATCTATCCATCAATATTGCCTTCTGAGAAATAGTTGTCAAAATAATAGTCAAATATTCAGCTTGAACCTGCAAGATGCAATGTTTAATTTTCTACCACCTAAGAAAAGCAACTAAATATCATGCTGCCAGAAACAAATGAGAAGTGTGAAAGACCAAATGAAATGGGAATCAATACGATTAAGGAATGGAAATTCTTTTGTCTTGCTACAGGGTAATACTCCATATTTACAATATACTGTTCAACTAAACAGAAGCTCTTCAGTGAGAGATCACATTCCCCTCTGAATAAGCCTAGTTCAAAGATCAGAAGTTATGTTCCGGCATACTCATCTCTTTTTGTCAAAGGCCAAATGTTCCAAGTGAAAGAAGAACTGCCCTGAGGGAGTGAGGCAAAAGTATTTTTTAGAAAAATCATTTCTCCTTTTCCTCAAGAATGAGAAGTTATCTGAACCTGAAAAGAAGTATTATCAGTCTGGGTTTTTTCTTCAGTGCTTGAAATCTCCACAGATGTATGCTACACAATGATGACACAGCTGTAATGGTCTAAGACGTGTTTAATTAGTTGAGCTGCTTTATTCTTTTCTGCATCCATCATGTTACATAGTAATAAAAGTCTCTGATGGTATTTTTCTCATTTTCTTTCCCATTTTATCAAAATGAGAAAATCTGTATTTATACTTTCAACTAAAACTGTGAAATTTATTTCCAGGTTCTTAATTTCTCTCTCTGAATCACTTTTTCTTGGCTTTTCTATTTTTCATCCTCAGCATCACAGTGTAGAATAAGAACAGTTACTAAGTTTTGCCATTTTATGTTTGCGCATTCTCCAAAGCTCCTTAACATCTAACATCCTGACTAGCACTGTTGTCATTGCCTAAAGCCGTCATGAAATGGTGGCTGATAAAGTCATAAAAGGACAAAGAAGTAATCATCTGCAAGAAGTCATCAATTCCCCCTGATAGCAGAAAAGAAAGGGAGCAAATCTGCAGGAAACATGTCAATTCAAAGGTCATAACAGAGTGCAAAAAAGCAGTATTTAAACTATTCCTTAGAAAGTCACAGCATTTTACTAAAGCTTGATTGCCTTATAATTCTATTTAAATCAATTTGTCTTTATTGGCTAGTGCAGAAAAATGAAGTATTATTTTCTAAAGAAATAATTAGTGGGGATATGTATCTTAATAAGATCTTATTTGATCCAATCCTATAGTTTGTTGCACATGCCTATCATCGTCAAAAGATAGACAGGGAACTGTTGAAATTCAGACAGACTCATAGATGGAATTTCTCACTGAATTCGTACCAATTGCCACAAATAAAATAACTTATCCTCTTCCCTACAATTTCTAATGTACATTGTTCCTGTCAACTTCCCAAACTGTACAAATCTGAGGTATCAAATAGGTAAGCTAAAATATTCTAAAAATCCTACAGGAGATAGGGCATCTGGTGAGAATTCTGGGTGCTGAAATCCACAAAACTGGGAGAAAGAATAAAGTCTGTCCTATGTCTATGAAGTAGTAAAAGATGGAGTTTATCCTCATCACAACTGTGAGATTAGGAACACCATTTTTCTTTTCCTGTACGGTTGCATGAGAACCATTCATTAATATGAAAGGAAGAAAAACTCATAGTCAAAATCACAGTTAAAGAATTGGCATTATGAATATTGAATTTACCTGTGCAACCCATCTTTGCCTGCTCTTCTCCTTACTTAACAAATAAAAAGTAATTCAAAGTTTTATATTCTGAAATATATTTTTCCAAATAAATATGTAGTGCTAATGGTTCTTCACAATATAAATATTTATATACAGGTATTTATATACATCCATGAAAAGTTCCCTACCCACCCAATTTTCGGTCACATCACATCCTCTTCTATATTCAGGATACATAACTCCAATCCCTACCTTGTTTTGAATCCAGCCCTTCCAATTTGTTTTCTTCCTTCAAAGATGAAGTAGAATCTATGCTATTGTCTTGCCTGAGAACAAGAACACATTTAAATTAGTTTGCCTTTTATAATTATAAAATAAGCACTTCAATATTTCAATACCTGCTTAGCACTCTGTTTTATTGCTTGATTTATGTAATGACATAATCATAAATAATAGTAATACAATGAAGCACATACAGTAAATGATAGTTTTCAGAAAAAAAATTACATTAGTTTCCCTAGCCTGCTCCATTTCCCTCTAAATCTGATAGGGCAAGTACTTTCAGAATTCCAAGCCAGCTTGAGAATTAGGAATTTATGGTCCCAATATACCTGGAGGGAACCAAGTTGGATAAAGCTAAACTTGATGCAATGAATCCAAATAATTAGTTTAGACTGGTTTCTGAAGGCATAAGACATTTTTATATTATTTGGGCATAAGAAGTAGACCTTATGCCATTGAAAGTGCACTATATGAACAATATTGTTAGCAGTAAAATAGTCAAATGCAAAAAAAGGACTGGTTCCCATTATTTTTAATACGTATGAAAAAGAAGGAAATGGGGCTTCTGCTCAAAATCTTTACTTTGGACAACAGTTAAAAGAGAGGAAGGTTTGCCTTTCTTTGCAACTACGCAACCTGATGAGTCCAGGAATATAGTAAGCTTATTTACTACCTCAGAGTATTGCCTGGTTATCCATACTACCTGTAAGGGATGACAATTGATAATTTCAGTATTTTCTGCATAGAATAATATCTAATATATTGAACAATGACCTCACCCCAGAGATATGTGCTATTGTTGATTCTCTGAATGGGCTATGACCCTTTGTAGAAAAAAGATCCATCCTTGACCTCTTAATAAAATGCTTTCCCAGTTCCATCTTCCCAGAATGGCCTTCAGCATTTAAGTCCTAAAGAAGTCTGCCTGAAGAATTCAGAAGGACTAATAACCTACAAAACACCTGAAAACAATTACCTTTATGAATGGCAGGCCCACAAAGCCTCCAGCAGTGAATCTGTCTAGTGTTACTACCTTCAGAAACAGAATCTTAAAGTTAATTCTTTCTACATCAGATAGGATTTAAAGGTTCCCCAGCAAGCAGTTTTAGGATCAAACTACGATGCCTCAAAATAAACCCACTGTGTTGGATAAGAAATAAATGTAAAATCCACTTGAGGGTCTATCCTCAGAGAACTGCATAAAGAACCAAATTTAAACCTTTCATGTAGTACTGCTCAATGTTACATTTGCAACTGCTAACACCATTGCTACCATCACAGTGATGATAAGGAATACATTTTAACAGTAATTTAGCCTTTATTCCCAAAACTGAAAAAATATTTCAAGAAAGGCTATTATACTATCTACAACAAGGAATAGCCTAGCTCAAAACTGTGGAAAGGACATCTCTTTAAAATAGCTTTGTACGTTTGACAGTTTATACAGAACTGAAAGAAAAATAACACATTTTCTTAAAGAGTTGATGAGATGCCAATTTAAGAGATTTTTACATACTTTCACCTTAATGTGAGGGTTTCTACTGTACAGTGAGGGGAAACTGCTAAATGGAGGCACCTTATCTGTTGTTTAATTGTCTTTGTACAAAGCAGTAACAGGAAAGAAAGACTATAAAACACACTTGAGAAAACAGGATACAGCTCTCCAAAGGATTTTGAAATCAAGGCAGGTTAGTTCAGTTGCTGAGCTTAATGAGCATTTTAGTCATAAAGTTATTTTATATTTATATAAGTCATTTTATATCTGAATTATTTTGTCTAACAATTGCAAAGTACATATTATGTTAATATACATACACAATCAAAACACTCAATGACACAGCAGGTCAAAGTTAAACAAAAATAGCAAAGAGTCTTCTGTTCTTCAAGCAATTTTATCATGGAATAATCTTATACCATACTAATTCTGGCAATGTTTTAGATGCCACAGGAATCCTTGTTTCTAAAATAACAATATCATACCATAGTACCATACCATTCTCAGGACTTTTTACCTATGTCTATCTGTTTTAACTATGCAAAACATCAATGGTACATACAGTGTTGAAATTATCCCATAGCTGGACATACTAACAGATCATTGGAATTAAAATCAAATTGCAACGTCCTTAAAATTGCAGTACTCTTCCAATACAAAGTTAAATACCAACTATTCAAAGTAAATTACAACCAGACTAATTATAGATTTTTTTATTTATGTTGGCAAACAGAAAAAGGGTATTTGACAATTACAGCCCTAGCTTTTTATTTCCTCTTTTCTAACTGAACATAGGATAAAGACTTCAATTTCTCAATTAGATGGTAATGCTATACTCAAGTGCTCCCCATCAGCAAACTAAAAAGGATGGTTGGGCAAAATCTACTTTTATTGAAGAAGAAACTACCCAAGGGTATAGATTCCTTAATAATAAAATTCTTTCTTTCTTGAAACGTGCTGCCAAATTTCATTCAGAACTCAAAATTGTTGAGCCACACAGTAACTTCTTTAGTTCTAATTATGTGGCTTGTAGTAGAGGTCATAGAAATGGTTATAGTCAATCTATTTAGCTATGTCATTTTTTCTGACAACTGAATAGTCTGATACAAAACCATCTGGAAGAAAAATGTAGTACCTGGTTTCTATCAACCACTTCAGCAAAACAGTACTGCACTTATACTAATAAGACAATGTGTTGTCCAAAACACTATCGCTGAGCAATTCTTTGCTGTCACATACAGAATTTCTGATGCAGGGCTGCAATTGGTCTTTTAATATGCGTGCATTTTCTGCCATCTTGTGGCTAAATAGTATAAATCTTAGGGACCACATTTCCCACTTAATTTTTATTTTAACCAAACTAATCCAATTTATAAAGTCATTATAGCATGTCTTTTCACATAAATGAATATTGTTTAAGATTTTAAGGTCACACAATTCATTTCTAATTGCTGAGAAAGATTCATTACAAGTATTTATTTCTGGGAAAATGTTGCTTCCTCACAACCTATTATATTCTAAAAAATAATAATATTCCCATACCTATTTACATCAAAAGACTTTATTAAATAGTGCCTGGTCGCTTTTTACTTTTTTAAAAAAAAATCAAGAAACAGATAATTTCAAAGTTACTTATGGAAAAGCCAGTGAAGGTAAAATAGATTAGGTTGATTTTTCTTCCTTTCCTGCTATGATTTTACAATAGCTCTATAACTGTCCTATTAGCATATGTGTGTACCTTCTGAAGATTTATAACTCCCCCTAAAAAAGTTAACTATAGGCTTATACTAGATTGGAGGGGCAGAAAGAGAAATCAGATCTACAAAAGATGTATTTTAGCAAGGACTTCAGATAACTCAAAATGATTATTATCTGAGAAGTAACACAATCTCTTTACAAGGGATAATGTTGGAATGTGTACCTTTCTGCCTCCCAGGTGTATCAAAGCAGATTACTATTCAAGATCAATTTCAATACTTATAATGCCATTCCCTGCTATGAATGCAGTTCAGAAAGCAATGACTCCCAACTGAAGACTGCAATTCTATATACATTCAGAAAAACAATATCAAAGTTAGGATTTACTTTGAAATAAATAAGTTCATTGTACACATACACAATCAAGAAAAAACTTTTTCTTAAAGGAAAAGCATACCGCACACATGAAGAGGTGATCTATGTATTTATCAGATTTGAATACAGCCTGATTCCTAACAATTCTGGACAGCTGATTAAAATACAGTACATGAGGAATAGCTGGATTCTAATATTTGAATCTAGTAGATAGGCAATTTTACTTCTTGATTCAATAGTATCTAGTCAAAATTCAATTAAAAAGCACTACAGAAAATAAAAAAAAATGCAAAATTATATTAGTAGGAAGGATTCCATTGTGCAAGATCAATATTTTAAAAAGTACTATTTTAACTGAATCACAGCAAATACTCTCAAAGTTACTATTTATCACATTTTAGAAAATAAAAGAAAGCATGACAAAATGTTGTGAAACCCAGATGAAAATACCCTAAAAAAATAAAGGACTGCATATCAACAAAACTATAATGATGGTTAATTCTATGGGTTTCACAACATTTTGTCATGCTTTATGTTTAATTGCACATCCTATAGAGCTCACTGAGGCATTACATAGAATTTTGCAGGCTTTCATTTCTCTGATTTTTGCAATATCCACAACAGTTGTTCATTTGTCATGCTGCAGCAAGAGTTCATAAATTTTCACCAACATTTCTACAGTTCATCCAATGTTTTGACAAAGTTTCAGCTGGAATTTTGCTGATATTTTATAAGTATTTCCAACTAAAGCTTTATTACAAGACAAAATTAAAACAAACTATATAAGAACAAATATAATTAATTTATGGGCAATTACTTACTGACTGGCTGATTCAACTATTGTCTTTTCTTCAGCACCATGGGTCTCCTCATCACTGTCAGAATCCACCCCATTCTCACCTTAAAATAAAATGTCAATATGAGATGTTATGTTTTGATAGCATTTTTCTGTCTTAATGTCATTCACCAATAAATACTGTTAACACTGTCAATGAAGAGGTAGTCCATCTTTTCAGAAAGGGGCTTGAAGTAATCTCAAATTGCAATCAGTGAAGGAAATATCTGCATTTTATAGACAGTTGGTAATAAGAGGTATACTCTATCCTAGAAGAGTAACAGGCTGTTTTAAGATAAGCATTGGCTGGCTAGTAGTTGCTCCATATTTATACCCAAGGGAAAAATACCCCACATTTATGTCAGGAGCCATGGTGGCACAATGTTTAGAATGCAGTATTGCAGGCTAATTCTAATGCCAGCAGTTTGATTCTCACTGGCTCAATGTTGACTCAGCCTTCCATCCATCCGAAGTCAGTAAAATGAGGATCCAGATTGTTGGGGGCAATATGCTGACTCTGTAAACTGTTTAGACAGGGCTATGAAACATTATGAAGCGGTACATAAGTCTAAGTGCTATTGCTCTTCTTCATGAACAACAACTCTATCATCTCCAACATGGAACCCTGCAGAACCATTGCTAATAAGCATAGACAAAATTTTATCTTAGTGTAAGTTACCATTTGACCATTCAGAACCTACAGCTGGTCCAGAATGTGGAATCATGGGAAGTTATGGGCATACCTTGACATGCCCATGTTAATCCACTTCTCTGTGAGCTGCACTGGCTTCCCATAAGCTTCCAGGTTCAATTAAAAATGTTGCCATCTATAAACTTCTTCATGGCACAGAGTTGGGTTATATGCAAACCATTTGTCTCTTATTAATTCTGCCTGTCGCAACATGTAATGAAATGCATGGATAATCTTGAGAAAAGGGGAGAAGACATGTTGCCTGTAAAACTATCAGACAAGAAAGACAGAAGCCCAAGAGAGCTTCCAGTGACGTGAGTGCTTTCGGTAACGTTGCTGAAGATAGACCTGGGGGAAAGACTCTCCGCTCCCCGGGTCCAATTTTCCTCTGCCGGTGGGTCCGTCGGGACCAAAAGCTGCCCTGGAGAGGTGGCCACCAAGGGGCGACACTTTGGGGACCACGGGCCGGCAGTAGCCGGCTCGTTGAAACCAGAAGAGCCCCTGGAAACTTAGAAAGGACTTGCCCTAACAGATCTAGCAGTTACAAGTGGCAGGTAGGAAGTTGGCATTTTTGCAAGATTCTGTTAATGTAGCCTTACAATAAAGTAAATTTAGCTCAACTAGTTGTGTTTCATATATAGTTTACCCGGGAATTCCAACCCAACAAATCCAACAGAGTTGGCAGAAATCAAGTCCTTTCCATCAAGCAATGCTATCTCATGGACTCAGAAAGAATACTTTCCAAGTCATGGTGCCTGCTTACCTCCCTACCGCACCCAATAATTTGATGGAACAGCTTATCTCCCAAAATATGAATGGAGATCCTGTTGACCTTTCAGAAAGCATTGAAGAGCTGAGTAAGACAAATCTGAGACATCTTTAGAGGTATGTTTTATGGCATTGAGTAATTGTCCTTAGTTGTTTTTAAAGTTTTGATATTGCACTTAGTTCTAAATTTACTGTAAACTACCCAGGTATTTTGAATTGCGCAACCATATAATTTGAATAAACAAAAACAATCCTCATTAAGATGAATATAAAAGATACATGCAAAACAACTTCCAATTTTTAATTTGCAAAGTAAAAAAAAGTATTACAATTTATGAGTAACTCTGACTCTGAAAATATTAATGTTAAATTTCCCCATATTTAGAGAGATTCTAGCTAGATTTCCCTATATTTGCTAGAAGTCCCTTATCCTAATTATATTATAGACAACTGCTGTATTTGTCTACTGCATATACAAACATTCTTTTTTACTTAGTGTTCATTAGGGATCCACAATTTCAAAAAAGACTCTGCTGCTTTAGGACTATATAAACATATCACACAACAAAATCATAGTATAATTAATGAATGAGGTTCTTTAAATGCCCATATCTATACATTCGGGTCTACTAATTTGGGCTGAGCTACTCAATATCATAACAATGTCCCAGTAATCACATCTACCTTTAGTGGGAGAAGCTGCCCTTGATGCCAAGTAAGGGCACTGGCAATTCTCTACTCATATTGCAATTACAAAGTAGAATTTATGCTTTCTTCATAAGGACAGAGTAAATGGATGTTTGGTGTTTATATTCTAGTCCTATCTTGCTTTCCCTACAGTAACTGACCTTCTCTATCAACATCTGCCATCACTTCACTTCTATTCAGACTTTGACTTTATTTCATCCAAATCATATAATATCTTCCTCAAATCCCAGCACTGGTTTCTCATTCTGTCCTGCAATACAATTTCCTTGTCTTTATCTGTAGGTCTGGCAGAAGATTGGGCTGAAGCTATTTTAATAGACAATGTTGATGAACAGTTGGAAGATATAAAAATGGGAGCTGCTCTTCTTTCAGTAAGAGACAAGAATAAGGGGAAAAATGCTTTTTGCATAGTTTGCATGAAAATCCAGTGCTTTTTGCATACTTCGCGTGAAAAAAGTCCTAGGTTTCAATCCCTGATATTATCAGTTGCCAAAGCTTGAATTTGAAAATGTAGCAATAATTATTGCATGACAGTACAGGTAGTCCTCAACTTGCAACAGTTTGCTTAGTGACCATTCAAAGTTACAACGGCACTGAAAAACATTTTTCACATGACATCGCAGCATCCCCATGGTCACATGATCAAAATTCAGATGCTTGGCAACTGATTCATTATTTAAAATGGTTGCAGAATCCCCGGTTCATGTGATCATTTTTTTGTGACCCTCTGACAAGCTAAGTCAATGGGAGGGCCAGATTCACTTAACAACTGTGTTACCAACTTAACAACTGCAGTGATTCACTTAGCAACCTTTGGTAACCATTGGTAAGAAAGGTCGTAAAATGGGGCAAAATTCCCTTAACAAATGTTTCGCTTAGCAAGAGAAATTTTGGGCTCAATTGTGGCCATAGGTCAAGGACTATCTGTATAGGCAACACTTCCTAATCAAGGTGCCCTTTAGATACATGAACGTCAACTCCCAATGACTAAGCTGTCCAGATGATTCTGGGGATTAAACTCTATAAATAAAGAGGGCGTGCATGATGGAATAAACACCAGTAAGATAGATAAAGTAGAGGCTTAGCTCACAGGTCAAGGCAATGCCCTAGGGCCCCATCTTTAAAATTTTCTGTAATTAAAAAACAATTTGCTTATTTGATAGTTGGTTCATTCTACTTTTGTACAATACAGTATAAATTGTTCTTCTACTGTATCACCAAATCAAGGGACACATGACAGTTTCCCAAACATGCATAAAAAGATAAAATAAATAAAAAACCAACCAATTATTAATCAAAAATACACAATTAAAATAATAATCATAGAAGTGAATAAACTAATAACAAAATCAATACTAAAATAACATAATTAATCAATTTAAATAACTTCAAGGTAAATTCAAAATGGCAGTAGCAAACTATTTACCAACCATTCTTCAGAAGAGTTCCATTTTATTTGGTTCCTGGATTGTTACAAATATGGAGCAAACCTCAGGAAGACTATTCCAGTAACAGTGACAGAAAAACAGTGTCTCCTGGCCTCTGTTTCTCTAATTTCACCCATATCCCTGCCATGTGACATTTGTTCCTTCTATCCAAAGTGCTAATCTCCTACACAGGATGACTGAGCTTTGGCAAGCAGATAGGATTTGCTAGGTTTTTCATATAACCAAGCAAGAACAAGGGTGAAGCAGAGACAGGATTTATCGTCTTCATCGTCAGCAAGCAGCAAAATAACTCAGCCGAAAAGAACAGGATCAGTATACAAGCCCTGTTACAGGTCCAAGTAATCAGCCTTAGAAAACAAGGCAAAGGTTCCGGAAACTTGGTCAATTAAAGAAGTTGTTTCAAACACTGAGTTACTTCCAATTCAAATCTCTTTCCTAAATCAGATGGTACATATTGGCTCATATCACATTGCCAGTTCAGTTGGAAACAGTGGGGTCTAGGACAACTCAGTGTGATTGACTCGGCACAGCTAACTTGCCATGGCCAACTTGGCGCAGCCAACTGGACCTTGGCAACTTGCTGTGGACAACTTGCTGCAAGACAACTCACCACAGTCAACTTGCTGCAGGACAACTTTCTGCAGAAGAAGAGTTATACTAACATTGAAGAAATGGTGGAATAGAATCGTTAAAGAAAGGATGCAAAAGGAGGGACAAAATGAAATGTGAATGACATAAATTAAAATAATCTTTATTTAAATACTTAAATTACTGAATTGTCCCGCAGCAAGTTGTCCCAGAGTGAGTTGGCCACGGCAAGTTGTCCTGCCGCGAGTTGGCTGTGGTGAGTTGGCTACACCAAGTTGTCCCATTCCGCAACAGTGACTCCTAAATAGACAGTTATTCGAGAGAAAACTTCTCTGCTCTTTCACATGCCTATTGCCTTTCAGCCTCATTCTTGCCATTGCTCACTTGGACTTGAAAAGTGCTCAGGGGAGCCCTAAGTGACATCAAAAGCTAAAGATAACCCAGCACTAGGAGTCATTTCTTTCTCACTTTTCCTGCTGTGTTCTAGTTTGCAGAACCATCATTCCCAATTCTCCTCTGGTTCCTCCTAAATCTTTTTGTTGTTCTTCTGCAGGAAAGGAATGATCCTAGATATGATCCTAGATATGACTTGACAGAAACGAAAGATGTTTCTTTTTTTCAGATAATGCAAATATATTTAGATACCCGTACAGCCAAAATGATCAAACTTTGTAATTCTAAGCAAAGCATATATATTTTGCACTCTTAAAGCAAAAGCTACTGATTCCTTTTGCTATGAATTACTCCATAGTCTGAAGCTCAATAATTAATCTAATAGCACCACATAAAATAGAGGGCTTCAATTCTTGTCGTCTCTAATTCAGATAATTAAATTCTGATTTTAGTAGCTACAACTGATGTCTAGAAAGACACACAGATTTTAATCATATACATATATTTCCAGACCATATATATGCTCTGCAGATAAATCCTGCTGAACTCAGTAAAACTTACATCTGAATAAACATATATATGGTATTTAGTTTTTTACTACAAAAATATTTCTAATTTTCTTAATTGATACAAAGCTGTGTCCTCATCTAGTCTTCATCTAGTCTTCAGTAATTGTCACTCTCAAATTTTACAATAAGCAATCCAAATTTTAGTTCAGTATATATGATTTTACCTTCAAGAATTTTCAATAACTTCTTTTCCGACATAAGTTCCAACTGTTCAAGACAAAGCCTTTTAATTTCTTCTATAGAACAGTTCTAAATGAAATAAAAAAGAAATGTTTCTATACAATAATTAAAACAAGAGATACTTTAGATAAGTCAAATTTAAACATGCTTGAAACAAACTTAAAATCTTATAATTAATTACTAATTAAATCTAAACTCACTAAAACAAGGAACAAAAAAGTTGACTTTAAACAATAATATTAAAATAAAATAGTGACATAAAACAATGTAAAAATAACAGAAATCCAGATATGCATGATTTAGAACTTGAATATTATGTTTTTGAATAGAAGGAATACAATTAAAATGACATATTAACCTAATACACTAAGTCATGATAAATATTTATTAAACTATTGATCAAAAACTTACACATATATGTAATTATATATTCTTTTTATCAATCTGGGTTTGTTTTTAAAATATATATATTGTATTAAATCAGAAAAATATAGTGAACTATGCTCAATATATTAGAACTTCACTTGCTCTGCTGTTTTTAGATAATTTTAAAGTGGCTGTCTTAATATATATATATATATATATATATATATATATATATATAATCAATTATTTATATTTATTGGCATAATTATCATTATGGATTAAAGCAGTGGTTCTCAACCTTTCTAACGCCGCGACCCCATAATACAGTTCCCCATGTTGTGGTGACCCCCAACTACTTATACATCACCAGGGGGCCAAAGAAAAGGGGGAAAAATGGCAGACAGCCTTGTTTGGCGACCCGTGAAATGATCATTCGACCCCAAATGGGGTCCCGACCCACAGGTTGAGAACCATTGGATTAAAGATATGTTTTATTTACATGACCAATCCAATAGAATCATAGAATCACAGGGCTGGAAGGGACCTTGGAGATCTTCTAGTCCAACCCCCTGCCTTAGGCAGGAGTCCTTATTCCATCTAAGACAGTGTTTCTCAACCTTGACCATTTTAAGGCATGTGGACTTCAACTCCCAGAATTCCACAGCCAGCAATGCTGGCTGTGGAATTCTGGGAGTTGAAGTCCACATGCCTTAAAATGGTCAAGGTTGAGAAACACTGATCTAAGACAAATGGCTATCCATTTTTCTTAAAAACCACCAACAATGGAGCGGCCACAACTTGGGAAGACAAGCTGTTCCACTGATTAATTGTTTTCATTGAAAACAGAATGATCCAGACTGCAACAGAGAGAACTACAGAGAAAACAGAGTTATGTGGGAAAACTGGCAGTTTATATATCAGTGATATATAAAACAGAGAGAACATGCTGAGATCCACAGTTGATGCAGAAGATACCGGTACATGTGTCTTATACATCAACCGTTGATTAAAGAGAAAAAATGTTTTGGAGTAAGTGCTAGTGAATAATAAAAATGAACTATGAATTATGTTCAGTAAAGCTGTTTTGTGGTAAAGTTACTATTTTTTTTTTCCAGTCCTAGTAATTTGCCCTTGTCTGAAATAGATTTGGAATTTGCAATCATCATCACTGCTATTTTATGAATGGACATCCCAGGGCAGCCATTCTGGATACTCAAAATTCCAACGTGTTTCCTGGCCCCAAAGCATTTCCAATATTAGAGGTGTACTTTTTTTTTATTGTCAGAACAGTCAAGGGGTCAAGAAATCCCACAAATGTTTAGCAGTTTCACTTTCTGCAACCATGTCAACAATCTCAACGTTTTTCCTAGTAGACCCCAAGTTTAACATAAACCTATCTCTATTGCAGTCTTCTAAGCAGGCATTGTTTCTGGGTATTCTGAAAATTTTTTACAATTGCTGATCTGTCCCCTTTAAAAAAAATATTTTAATTTTAAAATATTTTTTAATTTTTAAAAGTAGTTTTACAAAAGTAATTATTCTAAAGAAAAACTGAGATAGATTTAGGATATCACAACTGAATATTACTATCTTTCTCACCTAAAAGCTTCATCAATATTCTTAAAAAGCACTGAATAGTAACACCTTAATGTTGTTTCCATTTTAATTTTAAATCTTGCTTGCTTCTGATTTCTAGTTAGTTATTTTCAGGCAAAGATGTCAAAAATCCTTTGGGAATAGTATGTTCTTTAATTATAAATGACTTATTTATAAACTGCCAGGTTGCCACATTCTTATCTGGTGTTATGTCCAATTAAAGAAAATTTCAATATCCCCTTGGAAAAGCTGTAATTATATATTACATTATTCCATATGCCACAGTAATTAACGTTATTTACATTTCCAGTCTGATTTATTCCAAGGAGTGTACATCAGTATTTATACCACAAAATTTATTAATATACATCCATATACAAATATATAAACACTAGCTGTCTTAATAGCTGAATTATTTAATCCATATAAACCACTACTGAACCATCTTACAATTATATAAGATGCACACCAAATAACGACGCAGTGTTTAATTGGCAGGTTAATCAATTACAGCTTACTTGATGAATCAGTGAGAACTTTAATCAGTAAAAAAAAAGTCACACTACAATTGGTACGGTTGTAAGACCGAGATAAAGATGTCTAGTTCTGAAGATATTGAACTGTAGGTGTGGTATTGCAATAAAGAATAGATAACAAACAGAAAACAGTAATTTCCTTTCAAAAATATATGGTAGGTAAAACCTTTTCTTTTACTTTTTTTTTTAAATGTGCACAGTTGGGGTACAATTTGGAGGAAAATAAACTAAAGCCACACCTGACTTCTGAGAAAAGGAATGTCATCCACAGGCAGAGAATGCAAAATTATAGTTTTGAATATGACAAATACAAGAAATTAAGGATAGTCTGCCCAGGTGATAATGGATACATGGTTTAACATTAAATCTTTAAAACTGATTAAAAGCAAATTGGCAAACCCTACATTCTGTACTCTTAATTTCTGGCTTACTAAACCAAGTTATTTTATCCAATTTACCATATTTCAAAAAGGCCCCCACACTGAAGTACACTTTTGAAAATGTTTGATTTAAAATACATTTTCAACCTCAATTAAAGATAGCTAGTAAGTAAAAAGAATACAGTACCATCATTGTGATAAAAAGATACAGTAAGAGTTTTAAATTATTACATTTAATATCAATTTGTATTTAAAATTTTATTAACTTGCCGTATCTCATTCGTGTGTGTGTGTGTGTGTGTGTGCGCGCGCGTGCCAAAGGTGCTTTTTCAGGAGGCAACTGGATTTTCTTATTTTCTTTGAAGACATTTCGTTTCTCATCCAAGAAGCTTCTTCAGCTCTGACAGGATGGTAGGGAATGGAAAGATTTATATTCCTTGCAAACAGCTGGTCATTTGCATTCTTTTAGAGAGTCATTGATACCCCTTGGATGTTTGTTTGTGTCCTCAGGATCACCTGAGTAGTGCAAATGGGGGTGGGGCAGTTCGAAGAAGATGTCTTCAAAGAAAAACAAGAAAGTCGGGTTGCCTCTTGAAAAAACACTCAGATGACTGAGAATCTCCACAGACGTGTATACACACACACACACACACACACACACACACACACACACACAAACTCAGTCTTCTCTTAAATGTGATAACATAAATATTCACATGAAGCACTTTTGTTTTAGAACAATTTTAAAAGCTGCATCTTTTTTTAGGCTCATAAATAACTTTCAGAAGTTATTCTTGGCATGGGTGTGCACAACCAGTATACTTCATGGTTAAAAACATGTTCGCTTTTTAATTTTTTTTTTTAGTATTTAACGTGTATTCCAGTGTATTGTGAAGCATCTTTTTAAAAGAATTTGCACAGCTCTACTTGATATACTTCAATACCTTTAAAACATCAGGCAACATCTTCTGCAATTTCTTCTCCCCTATGATATAAAAGCATTGCTGAAGCATTTCCTTCTTGTCCGTAATATAGAAACTGACAGGCTTTAATTGCACAGTCAGATCTAGTCCACCTTCTTCTATGTCACTGGGTTCTTCGACCACATCTTTCTTTTCTGGAATCTGAGCAATATTCTTGGTTTCCTAAAATATGACATACACAAAAATAACCAATACAAACTTGATTGACTGTGTAGTATTGTCAGCAAATAAACTATGACAAAGAACTGATAGTTCAGTCTCATAGAGTTCAATATGGATTACTCACAAGTGAATCCATATAGAATTGCAGTTTAAATCAATGAAGCTTCTAAAATTGCTTCCTACTATTTTATAGTCTAAATATCATAACACTCTCTAATATTGTCACATTCAATGACAATATTTTAATACGGTTCATTAAGCTGCTCAATTTTGCATGTCAACATTATTTGAAAGATAAAGGAGTTTACAAATGAATGTTGGAAAGGAAGACTAATAGAATGTTATCATTATATAAGACTAATTGGCAGTATAAAAAAGCAATAATAGAACCAATAATGTTTTATATTTAGCTTTGTTATATTATTGCATATAACCTAAGGGACAATTTATATATTTTAAGAAATAAAAGAGGGGTAAAGTATTAGATCATTTAAGGGAGACACAATATTTTTGAACATCTAACGGATAGAGAGTAACAAAAATTCAGAGCTATGTCTCAAAAAAATCAGAGTTATGAAAGTCTTGAAAGAAAAAAAATATGAACCAGATATTGGAAAAAAGAGGAACTGGAGAAAATTAAGACAACTATCACATTATTTGATCATTGATTATTTTGATTATCACATAGTGAATGGTTTTCTTGCTCCTTAGAGAAAGATAAGGCAATGGAAGATTAGAGAAGATTATAAAATTGGAAGATGTTCAGGATAAAAAGAAGATCTAAAGATCAATTACTAGAGATAAAAAAAAAGTCACAAATTAATAACTTCTTAAAAGGGAGAAGCACCATATTTAGCAAAGGACTGAATATGCAGGACAAGGGTGGGTTTGTTTTAAATCATGATTTAAATCACTAGTAAAAAGGCTTGATTTAAATCAACTCGATTTAAATCATAATTTTTAAAGGGCAACTGTCATATCTGTCCCACAGTGGCTCCTCCTCTGACTTGCTGTTGACTAACCAACAGTCCCACTCACTTTAATGGGATGGCTGGTGATGCGGCAGTGACACAACAAGGAAAGTTAATGGAGAAGCCAGATTCACTTAACAACCACAATGATTCATTTAACAACAGTGGCAAGAAAAGTAATAAAATGGGGCAAAATTCACTTAAGAAATTTTTCACTTAGCAGCATCAATCTTGGGCTCAGTTGTGGTTGTAACTCGAGAACTACCTGTAATAGCACAAATTATGTATGATTACTCAGACATCACGTCATATTCAGTGGCATTCTTTCCAAGTAGGAAGGCCAAAGCCACAATTCACAAACACATAGAAAAGGCCAACAGACTGTAAGACTATGTATGAATACACATGGAACTAGAATTTGCTTTCCATTAGATGTGTATTATTTGTTTGCTTATTTATTTTCTGCCCATCTTATTTAGCAATTACTCTGGGCAGCTTACAGCATTAAAAACATTAAAACCATAAAAAGATAAATATTTCTAAAATGATAAAAATGGAATTACAATCAAAGATAAAGTTATAATTAGAAGATGGGAAGAAATAGAGCAGAATGCACAGGGTGGGGAGGTGGGATTGCCTCTTAATTCATCAACCACCTCCAGTGTGGCACCCCCCCATTGAGTGGGCACAGCCAAATGATTAGTTTACAAGTGTGATCACCACTCCAAAAAGTAAACTGGAGTGATATCTTATATCCAACCACTGATGTAATACAGGAGGATATTCTGCAGAGACAGCTCTCTACTTGCCTTGCAGGATTGCTTCTGTGAGATATTAACTTCCACCTCTGTATCCTAATCTGAAATGATACTTTACTGCTGAAAATACAGTAATGCAGACCTTACCAGTTACATCAGACAGCCCCCTCCTCACATTTGCAGGGATAACGTGCTTTTACAATTGGTTAAATGTTTTCCTTTTGTTCATTCCTTGCTGAGGTCAAAACACCAGATGCCATCATTCAGCGTTCAAGTTTTATTTGACACACAAGGCAAATACATTGGCAAAGGTTGCAAAGACATTTTATAGTCAGGTGCAAAACAGCTAGATTGCACATACCTACTTCTAAAATTTTCAAGTTTTATTTTCTTAATAGTCACCTGATGATGGGTGGCATAGGAAAAGATAGGTAGGTAGGTAGGCAGGCAGGCAGACAGACAGACAGACAGTCATATTTCTCATGTTCTAATTGGCATGCTTTATCTTTGTTGCTATGAGCCTTAACATTTGTCCTTATATTCCTTTCTAATGTATGCACCTGACACTCTTGTTTCTGTGTAATAAAAAAGCACTAATTTCTCTTCTAAGATGGCCTACCTAGTTCAGCTTAATAGTTTAAGTACTTTCTAAGAATATTTTGCCCTAGAGAATAAAATAGCTTGCGTGTTAATGGCAGCTGAGGCTTTCCCTAAGCACATTTGCTCACGGTTAACTAGAATTTATTCTGTCAACCAATCTTCTGGATTCACCCACCACAGAAAGTTTAGAAGCGTTAACAGAACTTCTTACTCAGAGAAGATGCTACCAGGCTCTTAATTTCCAGAAAACCAGGAGCCCGGTAGCACCTTTTTCTGAGTAAGAAATGCTATTAAAAGGCATATGATGTGGTGAGCTCCCTTCACAATCTAATTACTTGATTTGATTGAACTAAGATACGGATTTTCTTGGCTTTTCTGCTCTTTTTTTATGTAATGCGTGTTTTAAGAAATAAAAACGACACAGCTACAGTCCCTCCAAAACAGGCGCGCGAAGGGATAGGATGAAGCTGCATCTCCCTGTCACGTGGCTCCGATAACTGTATTCTGCGCCTGCGCAATTCAACCGTTCCCCCTCTTTCCTTCCCCCCCCCCACAAGGCTGACGGACTGTGATACCTCCAGAGGGCCGCGGGCTGGCTCAGTGCTCCGCCGTTTTCTTTCGCTGCCGCCTCCTTCCTCTGGGCAGCTTAAACGCGAGCGGTGTCGCTTCTTCTCTTTAGAGAACTTACGGCCCGTCATGGCGTCCACCTCCCCGAAACAGTGGCAGTTCCTTTAAAGCGTCTTGAAAAATAAATAAATAACTTCATCAAACAGCCATCTCGCGACTGGCTAGATCAGAGATCCGCGCGTTACGCTCAGCTGGACCCCTGTCGCAGTTTGTTTACGTCATTCTTACGATTTGTTCGCCATAGAGATAGAAATCTTAATTTTTTTATATATAGATAGATAGCAAACGAAATCTAACATATGTCTATGGAGATTCTCAGTCATCCAGGTCATAGTTATCCCAAAGATAACTGAAGAAGCTTCTTGGATGAGAAGCGAAACGCCTTCAAAGAAAAACAAAGTTCAGTTGACTCGTGAAAAAGCATCTTTGGGAAGTCTGCATAGTTTCCCTGTTTTTCAAGTTAACCCCTCCGCTTCTGGTCCTTTAAAGCATCTTTTGTTTGGATGCAATTGGCAAAGAGTTTTTTGGTTACTGAGCTTTCCTATACAGTACGTTACAGGTTGCCCTCGATTTACAACAATTCATTTAGTGACCATTTGAAGTTACAGCACTGAAAAAACTGATCTGTGACCATTTTTCACACTTATGACCATTTCAGCATCCCCATGGCCATATGATCAAAATTCAAAGTGATTTATGACTGTTTTTTACACCACCACTGCGTGTTATGTGATCAAAATTCAGATGCTTGGCAACTGACTCATGATGGTTATAGGGTCCTGGGGTCATCTAATCCCCTTGTGCAACCTTCTGATAAGCAAAATAAATGGGAAAGCCAGATTCACTTGAAAGTGTTACTAATTTAACACTTTGACTGATTCAGTTAACAACTGTGGCAAGAAAAGTCATAAAATGGACCAAAACTCACTTAACAAATGGCTCACTTAGCAACAGGAATTTTGGGCTCAGTTGTGGTCATACGTCAAGGACTACCTGTATTATCAACCCAAAGCTGACCTTAGAATTATTCCGGCTTCAATAAAAATTGCTCAGTTGCTGTCATTTAGCCCACAACCAGTACTTTAATTCATCCTAAATTCCTGGGCTCATTGGTTATCATACAAGTAAAAGGAATAAATCCCTGATTGTTAGGGTACACTCCCCTTGGAGAAATCTGATTTATTATTAGATACTATCTAATAATAAATCAAATTTGTCCAGGGGAGTGTACCCTAACAATCATGGATAATTAATTTTTCCCAGTGTCTCACCCAACAGTTGATTTTTTTAAAGTCAGATTAATAAGGTGATCAACTTTTTTACAACAAAAAGGAGGTGTAAGGACCCACCCCACTTTGCATCTTAAGAAGACAGAACTCTTGGAATAGCTCTTCCAACAGGAATCCTTTATTAAGAGAAAATGGTTGCAGGCATGCTAGACAGGACTTGGGGTTCAAGCTCTCCCATTCAAGGTTTTAAGGGGTTCCCCAGTAGTCCCACCCAATCAACCCCCCTTCCAGTGATAGTTTCAAGTATCACAATTCCATCCCCTTTCTTCTTCCGTCTGGATGGAGACTTCAGATAACTACATGAAAGGCAATTACTCTTCTTTGATATGTTAAAGCTTAGAGGCCACAATAAACACACATTCAGTCCTTTGAAGTGTGCTGAAGGAAGTGAGGGCCATAAAGCCCCTTTGCTCTCCCCCTTTTCTCCCTCTTATGGCAGAATCCAGAGAAGGCAGAATTGGGAGTTTCTATGTTTGATAATTAAAGATGAAATATAATTGGATTCTGACATCCGGCCCCTCTTAACAATAAGAGAGATCCACCAGGGGTTCGCCTTCCGAGCTGTCATCTGAGGCATCCACCGTCCCTGTGGTGTAGGCTGGAGTTCTTTCCCCTTGGTGAGCAGAGGTGGGGTTTTCTGCAATTTCCATCATTTTCATGGCTGTTTCTTTTGGCTTAGCTGAATACCCTCTGGGTTTGTTGATTGGGGATCTGTCTGGGTTGTGCTGGGGGGCCTTTGAGCGGCATTCTACAGCTCGATGCCCTTCTCTTCCGCACTTGAAACACCCCATCTGCTTCTTGGCTGTATCCGATGATTTCACCGTTTGGTGTGTCAGCTCAGGCGGGGGGCGGCTCCATTGTTTTCCTCGGCGATGCCTCTTCAATATGTCGATCTCTGCTTCCTCTGCCAAGACGTACCATTCCTCAAGTCGATGTGGGTCTCCTCGGGGCAGGCAAGCATCATATAGATCATAGTTTAGTCCGTCTTTGAAACGGCCAAGGAGGATGTCTTCTGGCCAATTCAGTTTGCTGGCAATGGCTCGGAATTCTTGTGTATACTCAGCCACTGGGCGTTTGCCCTGCCTCATCGTTGTTATTCTTTCACGGGCTTTGCGATCAGCCAGGGGGTCTTCAAATCGTCTTCTCAACGAGGACATGAAACGGTTGAAGTTACTGAGTTCTGGGGCATTGGAGTCATGCAGGTTCACCACCCAATCTGCAGCTGGTCCATCCAGGGCAGATTGCACGATCCGGATGCGGGCTTTGTCGCTGGGGATGTCCTGCCCATATTCCTCCATGTAGCTGAGGACTTGGGTTAGGAAAAACCCCAAGCGTGTTGGCTCCCCTTTGAATTTCACCTCCAACGGTGGACGTCTTGGAATGGATCGGTGCCTCCATTGTGGGTGGTAGTGTCTTCCGTCCAGATTTCCATCTGTGGTCCGGTAGGGGGTGGGAGCTCCTGGATCAGTAAATGTCCCTGGGGTTGCAGGTTCCACGTCCCCCTCGGTGTCTCTCCCGTTGTGGCTCCAGGAACTGGGGCGGGCGTAGGGCTCAGGAATCTCCTCTCCTAGGGAGCTGAGAGTTCGCTTCATCAGGTCAATAGCTCTCTCTAGGATCCAGTCTGAGTACGGCATACAGCTTCCTCCCTCTTCACTTGCGTGCAGGGATTTCTCCATCTCCTGCTTCCATTCTGGTTGCTTGGTCCCCCTTCTCAGGGTCACTTTTCTTGATTCCTTTCCCCACTCGCTTTTCTTTCCAACGCCCATCGACCAGCTAGGCTTGTGGTCCTGTGTCTCCACCACTTCGTCTTCTGAGAAATCTGGCCTCTCGGATCCCAACATCTGGCAAGGTTCCAACTGGGTCAGCGGCTCTCTTTCCAGGGAGTTTTCTCCCTCTCTTGCTTCGTTGTCTGACATTGTAAATTTTTGCAAAATCCCCCGGCAAGGGTCTACCTTCCAGGTGGATTAATTTTGCAAGTCCTGTCTAATGTAAGGACCCACCCCACTTTGCATCTTAAGAAGACAGAACTCTTGGAATAGCTCTTCCAACAGGAATCCTTTATTAAGAGAAAATGGTTGCAGGCATGCTAGACAGGACTTGGGGTTCAAGCTCTCCCATTCAAGGTTTTAAGGGGTTCCCCAGTAGTCCCACCCAATCAACCCCCTTTCCAGTGATAGTTTCAAGTATCACAATTCCATCCCCTTTCTTCTTCCGTCTGGATGGAGACTTCAGATAACTACATGAAAGGCAATTACTCTTCTTTGATATGTTAAAGCTTAGAGGCCACCATAAACACACATTCAGTCCTTTGAAGTGTGCTGAAGGAAGTGAGGGCCATAAAGCCCCTTTGCTCTCCCCCTTTTCTCCCTCTTATGGCAGAATCCAGAGAAGGCAGAATTGGGAGTTTCTATGTTTGATAATTAAAGATGAAATATAATTGGATTCTGACAGGAGGACACGAATAAATTGAAGAAAAAAATATTGTAAATAAAAGAAATATTGTATTTATTGCAACAATAATACAGAATACACTATAATATGATCAATGCATAATAAAAAACATTTGTAACAATAACATTTTATATTGTAATTATGTTTACATGCCTATTAATTATTTAAATGAGTACTTTTCCATTGAATGAATATTTTTTGTCAATGTATCATCTTCTAACAATATATTGGAAATATCTGAACAAGAAATATCCTTCATATTGAATTTTACGGCAAGTGCTGCAGCTAGAGTATCAACATTCAATCTCGATTTCTCACTTGTCCAAAAATCTACACGACTGGACTGCGCGGGGGTGGGCGGCGGAGGCAGGTGTTGTGAGCCAGGCGCTCCAGGATGGCCACGTAGATGTGCAGGGTGAAGTGGTGGCAGCGCAGATCAGCACTGCGTAGACCACCAGCTGGCGCGGCCCATGGAAGGTCAACTGCCTGCCGCGCCTCCGCCCACAGCCGCCCCGCCAGCACCGCTGCCCTGCCATGGAGAGCCAGCCCCACGTCTCGCAAAGCACCAGCTGAGCCAGCTCCGGCCCTGAGCCGCCCCCCAGCACCACCGCCCACCCTGCGCATCCCCATAGAGCCGGCCCCATGGCTCACAAAGGCAAAGCACCAGCTGCTCCGGCTCCGGTCCTGCAGCTGTCCCCCCAACCGCCCCCCAGCACCACTGCCCACCCTGCGCATCCCCGTAGAGCCGGCCCACGGCTCGCAAAGCACCAGCCGCGCTGGCTCTGACCCTGCAGCCACCCCCCAGCACCACCGCCTACCATGTGCATCCCCGTGTAGAACCGAACAGGGAAGATCAAGAGAAACTTATCGCTCCAGTCTCCTCCAGCTATCTGCGAAACTAAGTAAGAGATGGTGTAGTTGGGTAGCAGTGAGGGGTGCAAAGTTCCTGCAACTTGCACGTGCAAAGTTTGCCGCCTGGGTGTTTTGGCGCGCTCAGCAGCAATTCCTATTGGCTTTCGAAAGCCAATAGTGGGAGTAGCACAGCTCAGGCAAAAGTTGAAAAAAAACCATCAAAAAAAGGTCCCGGAACGCCTTCTGGGCGTTCTATGAGGAAAAAAAAGCCCTGCAGATAAATCTTCAAATATAGAAAAAGAGGACATTTAGGAGGACATTTTCAAGGGAGGACAGAACTCACAAAAGGAGGACTGTCCTCCCAAAAGGAGGACGGTTGGTCACCTTAAGATTAATCATGAAAATAGATTATGAAATCTGACATTTGTGCGTTCCCTTGTAAAATATAAAATTTTATGAGAGTCTTCGCTTTGATTTATAATTTTGCACAATGTTAGTGTTGTGAAAAGTAGGGTTCTATAAATTGTATGATTTGGTAGATCACTCTAATTGTGATCTATGAATTTCAGTGGTTCCAGTCTAAACAGTATTTGACTTTATGAAC